CAGTTTATTTTGGATTCTTCCTCAGAAGCTTCGTTCCTAGTACACTGGACCTTGAAGCTAATCACACACGTGTTGCTTAATATCAAACATGGCTCACCGGTGTTACATGTTGGTGAACATTTGGGAAATGACGGTGATTGAACAACATCATCATAATCACTGTGAAAATCTCAAAACCACATAACTGTCGGGTAAACTTAACCGCACAGACGACATATTTGTGAGATATCTCTTCTTTCTTTCTTTCTTTCTAAATTGAATTGACTGGAATGGCGGAAGGATTTATTCAGAGGGTAAGGAGTTTGTTACGATATCACATCCAGATTCTTGAAACCAATATATTTTTCCCATGTATGTGCTTCTCCAGGAGGACTTATCATTTTATTCATGTCTTACAGGAATCTTAGTTCTTTCATTTTCAAATCTGAATCCGAACTAAGGTCTATCATAGTAACTTAATAGTACATTAGTGCAGTATCTACAACAATACATGAGCTTGTATATATCTCAAGGATAACCCAGGCAAATACCAACCTTCCGGTATGGTCTAGTGGTTAGGATACCTGGCTCTCACCCAGGAGGCTCGGGTTCGATTCCCGGTACCGGAATATTTTTTTTACTTTTATCATAGTTAATTTAATTCATCAGAATATTCTTTCATCACAAATTTCAAAACTGGAAGTCCATGTGCATGAAAAAACGTGTTAGCCTTTCATTTGCGTGTGGTCTGACGAGTCCCTAGGTATATACAACATACATATCCATACATGAGAAATTATTAGTTAACAGAAATTATACACGCACACGACGAGAAAGATTGCTAATCTCAATTCACTAACATCAAAGCAATCAAGAAAGCTGACAGAATGTGTTTAATTTCTGTGAAAAAGAGTCCCAGCACGAATTTTAGGAGAATATGTTGCTGACTGTTGAACGAAATAAACTGGGAATGAAGACGCCATTCTTTTGGGTTATTGCGCCGACGATGACTGATGAATGAGTCAGTAGACACCTCTGAAACGTCGGCCAACTTCTACATGAATA